GTCGGCTGTGTAGTGTAGTTTTCCAGGTACGTGTCGAACATCTTTGATGTGGAATCTCATTAGTCTCATCTTGTAGCGTTGTAGTCTTGGAGGTAACTTGTCGATGGTATGGTTGGTTAATAAAGGTACCAGTGGTTTGTGGTCAGTTTCAATTGTTATTGGTTTTCCAATTATGTAATTGCTTGACCGTTCATATGCCCAAGTTACCGCTAGAGCTTCTTTCTCTATCTGGGCATACCTAGCCTCGGTTGTTGTCATCGATCTTGAAATGAATGATACAGATTTCCAGGTGTGTGGTTCTTCTTCTTGCAGCACCACCGCTCCAAGGCCGTAAGATGATGCGTCGGCTGCTATTTTGGTTGCTTTGTTGGGGTCGTACAAGGTTAGTACGTATCGGTGCTGATGTCAGGGCTTTCTCGATTTTGTCAAAAGCGTCTTGTTGTGGTGGTCCCCATGTCCACGCAGTGTTCTTAACTAGCAGTTCTCGGATGGGCTTTGTCAGGTCAGCAAGATTGGTGGTAAATTTGCTAAATTGGTTTACCATTCCAAGAAAGGAACGGACTTCATGTAGGTTGGTTGGGTGTGGCATTCGAGAATCGCTTGTATTTTCTCTCGATCGAGTTTGATGCCATCGGCTCCCACGATCTGACCTAGGAATTTCACAATCGAGACGTTGAAAACACACTTTTCGGCATTTAGCGTGACGTTGGCGTTACCGAGTCGTTGGAGAACCGCTTCCAATCTTCGGTCGTGTTCTTCTTGTGTTGCATCGTGAACTAGAACATCATCGATGTTGCATTCGACGCCATCCAAACCTTCGAGAATTTGGCACATACATTTCTGAAACTTTTCAGACCCTGAACTTATTCCGAAAGGAAGAACGTTGAAACAGTACCGTCCCCAAGGTGTTATGAACGTTGTTAGAGGTTTTGATCTTTCCGAGAGCTTGATTTGCCAAAATCCAGAGTTGGCGTCTAACTTTGTAAAATACCGAGCTCCAGCAAGGTTTGCAAATGTCGTGTCGGTTGTTGGTAGGGGGTGGTTTTCACGTTGCACGAACTGATTAAGCTTTGTGAGATCTACGCATACTCGAACTTCTCCATTGCTTTTTGGCGTTATAACCATCGGGGCGCACCATTCGGTTGGATCTTCAACTCGAGATATTACTCCGTTGCGTTCCATTCTTTGTAATTCCCGTTCGGTTTCTTTTCGAAGTGGTATCGGAACTTGTCGTGGAACCGTGATTGCAAAAGGTGTTGCTTCGTGCGAGACTTTAATATCATACTCTTGGTCTTTAATTTGTCCAAGACCAGTGAAAAGATTGGGATACTTTTCTTTGACGCTTTCTTTCATTTCGTTGCTGTTTAGAGCGTCGACACAGTTGAGAAAATTCAGACTGTGGGCTGCTTGTCTTCCTAATAATGATCTTTCGAGTCCTTTAACGACGAATATTTCTTCTGTAGTTGTCTTGTCCTCGTGTCGCAGCTGTGAAGTGAATGTTCCTATACAGTTCATTTTGTAATTGCACGGGCCGATAAGAGTTGAGTGTTGACTGTAGTTTTCGTTGTTAATATACGTACTGTTAAAGGTATCACTGTGACGTCAGCGCTGCTGTTGATTTTGAATAAAATATTTGTTTCGTTTACCTTTATGTCTGCATTAAGAGATTTTCAAACTTGTCTCGAACTGTTTCGTAGCTTTTCATTTCTTGTTCGCTGAGACCAAACGATGTTATTATGTCATCTGCCTCGTCGCCCATAGTATATATAAGCGCGTTGACTTGTTTGGCTTCCTCTTGTCGAGTTCTGTCGCAATTCTGAATCGCTCAAAGCGACGAATCCATCGGATCCACTCCGAGGATTTAAAGCTAAATTTCGACGGAGGTGTCACTTGATATGTTGTGAAACTTCTCGCGGTATTTACCTCGTTTGGTTCTGCCATATTTAACTTATGCTGAAATAGGTTTCTTGTACTCTATTTCACACGTACGTGTATGTTTTTGTTTTGTTGTTTTTATATCGTTTGTGCTTATTAGTTTATAATAAGTTTATTTAATTTCTTTTGGTCACTCGAGTATTCCACCGCTGCTGCCATGTAGTAAGGTTTGAAAGAGACTTTAATATCAATACGTTAGTTTATATACACGTGGCCCCGTCATTAGTAATAGTTAATATTGGTAACAGTTAATCTTAATTGAATCACATTACAGCTCAGACAAAAGATCATGTTACACCAATATGTCATAGTGCGTATTAAAATAGGTCTACACATTACATACTTTTAGACGTAAGTCGCACCTATAATCCAATCTGTGCAGGCCTCTATCGTGGAATACATGTAAGCCTGTATTTTAACAACTCCAGCGACTGAACGCTCAACAGAGCGTCTTGTTCAAAGATAAATATTAAAGCCCAGCTTGGCAGCTCACCTACACAAGGTAGGCAAGTTGTGTGCTTGATTTTCGCATTACAACTCAAGTTGTAAGCAGGTTGCATGAGACAGTTTTAGGCAAAAGTTGTGTTGCGTAATTCGGCTTTTAATTTTTAAACTTTTATCATTATATTATGTGGAAAGATATATTACGGAGGCATACAAAGCATATAAGTTTATAAGTAAGTTTCTAAAAGAATTCCAAACCAAAAAATAATCTTAAAACAAACTTACCCCGTCAAAGAGATGCACCCAGTAAATAAAAGGTGGATAACATCCATATAAATTTTCAGTTCAAATACTGACGGGAGATTATTCAACCAGCTCAGGTACCATGTTGTTGCCCACAGCAACACGATATGGCCTCGCTATAAAAGTCGTAGATCTTGGAAAATCCCTTTTGATAACGAGAAAAGACCACTTACAAAACTGAAATTTAATATATTAGATTCAAATCAATTAACCCATTGAGTGCCAGCACCACGCCTGCTTGGTACGTAAAATCGTCTGGCATTAGGCAGAGTAAAATAATAAAATCAAGAATATTTGGGCATATTGTAGCCTGCGTAGCAGTCGCTTTATTTTTTTGAGGTTTTGATGTGAGGATTTTAGTGGTATTTTGGAAAAAATGCCAGACGAAAAAAAACGGTGAGAAAAAAGGGGCAAACAAAAATCCCAAAGGTAACCATAGTTCAACCAACCCCCTCCCCCAACTTCTTTAAGCGGGAGGGTGAACCATCTTGAAAAAACCCTGTAAAAATGGGGTGGTTACTGAAAAGGGGGGGGGGGAAGGGGTGAGCAAAATACTGTCATGAAGATTGCTGAGCAAGTCATTTTTCAAAGTGCAGAAAATCAAGACATTAATTAATAATTCTGTGCTATTTGCAAGTGTTAATGATTAACCTGTCTAAAGTTAACTCTCTAATAACAGCTGTAGGGGTTGAAAAGTTTTGAAAAAGGGGGACATTAGTAATAGGGAGGGATACAATTTAAAAGGGGGGGATAAGACCCATTTCAGAATGTGGACACACCTGGCAACTTTTCTTCTGTGGCTACATTAGCGGGTTTGTTTCGTCCAAAACTGGAACACTTCCCGTAAATGGTTTCACCAACAACACACAGCCATTGATATACTTCTTGGTTGTACGACTGCATCCTCATTCTTAACCCAAGCGATACTGTAACTATGAAAGTAACAAAGGATTAGGTTTTACAACTTGTGCTTTTAACACTTCAGGGGGCTTTCTGGGATTTCAGTGACAAGAGTTGTCAGGGCAACCATTTGTCGTATTGAGATCGCTCCATGCTCAAGACATTTATGTGAAGAGAGTTAACATTCTCCTAAAAATCATGGCTCAACATGGTGAGTTATTAACAAAAACGTGGATGTTTCCCCTATGTTGGTGACAAAATAGTCAGGTCTAACTTACTTTAATGGTTGATACTTTAAGCATTCCATATTATGAACACTTTGGAATGCCAGCCTCAAACATGCCTAAAGGAAAAACAAAATAAAAATTCAGGGATATGTGTTATCAAAACCGGCAACCTATTGCAACTTTATTTTGCATGATTGTTTCCTGATCGGATTTATGTACGGTAACCTTTACTTATTTCAAAATTTTACCATGGCCTTTTCAGATGGCAAATTTTATTTCTCAAATCTCCAAGTCTAAGTGAGCCTTATTATTCAGTAGCAATTAATTTAAAGAGGCCAGCGGCAGACATTTTGTGAAATATTGGGGAAGGACATTTAGGATACCAACATATGACCACCTTTTGTATGCAGCTGGAAATCTTAGTTCTTTCAACTAAGTTTCTGGCCCTAAATTTCACGCAATATATAGCTTAATTTATAGCCTACCAATGCTTTCATGGTTGAAATGATTGTTTCAGCTTTGTTGCACAATTATTCAGTTATCATTTCAAAGATTTTCAAGATTTTCATTTTATTGGGAGAGGGGGTTGCCCCACTCCTCCCACCCCGAGCAATACAACAAAAATGAAAGACAAACCTCCGAGAGTTACTATCGTAACCAGAAACTGCAACACCATAGTCGTGAATTTCCCAAATTTATTTGCTGCAGTTTTGGGCAGTGTTGAAATAGCTTTGGTGCGGTCTTCATAATCTGATACTCTTGTTTGTGAGGCTGGGTGTATCGAGAGTAACGTCTTTGTTGGGGAATTAGGACTTAGTCCTCATGGTCTATTGTTGGTAGTTTCTGCCACAACTGTGGTACATTTGGGTGATGTTGGTACTTGTACGAAAAGTGGTATCTTTGCATTGTGCGGAGGGTTTTCTGGCAAGCATGGAGGGGGGTTAAGGGGAAATGGTCCATGGGAGATGGGGGAGCTTTCACAGTGGGATGTGTTGTTGATAATGGTACCTGCCCAGATACTTGAGAATTAGACAAGAATGTTGGTGGGAGTTTGTGCGCTGTGGACACATTGTTTCTTGTAGGTGATTTATGCGCTACAGTTGGAACAGTTGGTGACGAAGGAGTAGAAGGTAGGCTTCCTTCACTCGGCTCTGCACTTCCCGACGCATCAAGGTTGTTGTTTGACATTTTCTTCGGTTTTCTGACTTCTATTCGACTCCATGAATTTTCGGAGGGTTGTTCTTGCCTTCGGTTCATGCACGCGATGCTTCGTTTTTCAACACATATCGTACAAAACCAATCCTTCAGGAGAAAAAATTATAAATAATAAAGCTTGGAATAACAGTCTGTGTACCTAATCATGTGCATTCGTAAGCATTTTTGATAG